GGGACGTCTGGTCACCTTATCATAGGTCAAAATGTATCATAGTCCTTAGGGATATGGATGCTCAATGCCTAGATGTTTCTCAATTACCTTTTTAAAATTATATCCTTCCCAAGGGGCATTTAAGACATTTTCTTAATCAACACTTCCTCTTACAAAATTATTTTTTGCCAAACTTGGAAAGCCATTATTTCTTCAATATTTTCAAGTACAGTGCTATTTTTTCTTTCCTTCCAGGACTTTGATGGCACAAATGTTAGGTCTTTTTTTCTTGTCCTTCAGGTTCCTGAGGTTTTGTTCAGTTTTTTTTTTTTTAATAATTTTCCTCTCTGCTGTTCAGATTAGACAATGTCTATAAAATTACCAAATTCACTAACTCTTTCCTTTTTCATGTCTACCTTGCCATTGAGCCTTGGCAGAGAGTTTTAAATTTCATTAAAATTAAAATTTAATTAAATAATTTTATTATTTTATTTTTCATTTCTAACATTTCCATTTGGTTTTTGTTTATATCTCCTATTTTGCTCAGACTTTCAGTTATAATTTTCATTTTAGTATTTTTCACAGTTGCTTCAAATATTCTTGTAATAGCCACTTAAAACTATTTTCAGAAAATTTAAACATTTGTGATCTCAGTATGGGTATCTATTGATTGTTACTCTGAAAGGATTTGAGATTTTTGTGGCTTTTTATAAACTGAATCTTTGTGAATTGGATTCTGGATAATTTTATTATTATGTTAGGAGTCCCTGGATCTGTTTAAATCCTATGGAGAATTCTGATATTTCTACTTTTGCTGGAACATTAGTTGGTTAGGTTAAAGCTGCAAGTTCCAACCCCCTTCTTTGGGTTGTAGTTCAGTCATTTCAGTTTGAAAAATCCTTGCAGTTCTTTATTTTTATTTAATTCTAACAATCCTAATAGCAATTCGATAAAGCATAATATGATACTCATTTCACAAATAAAAGTTAGGTCTGAATTCAGTCTATATCACTAATTATATGATACTAGACAAGACAGACATTCTTTGAGCCTTGATTCTCGATTTCCTCATCTGTAAAATGCAGTTGATAACATTTAGCTAACTGAATTATTGAAGGACTAACTAAAATAACATGTAGCATACGTAACACATTGCAGATCCTCAAGAAATCCTGTGTGGTCTTCTCATTTTCATAAAAAATCAATTTTATTGAGGAAAAATTATCAAATACCATATATACATCTTAATTTACAGAAGATTACTCGACAATGATGTGCACTGTGTAACTACTACCCAATCAATCAAGATATTACAGGACATTTTCCTAACCCCAGAAGGTTCCTTCCCGTCCCTTTGAATCACCCTTTCTCTTATCAACCCCACACAATCCCTGATCTAATTTCTACCACAATAGATGGGTTTATCTGCTCTAGAGATTTAAATTAATAAAACAATATAATCAATACATTTTGCATCTGGCTATATTCACTCACCCCAAATATTTCAGGTCTTCTATTTCAGTAGTTAAGAAATTTGCCAGTCCTCTGTTGAAATTGCCTTTGTATAATAGCTTCCAAATATACTAATGCCTATATCCACTCTTTGAGATTGTGATTTAATCAGTTTGAGATATGCCCTGTTCCAAAAGATTCCCGGTGATTCTAATGTACAGACAAACTTGGGACCTGTGTTCTGCATCCTTTCTGATTTTCTGTATCCTTGTTTTCAAACTACAGAGCAGGCAGTGATGAACTGTCCAACCAGAGTTGTGGGTTAATCATTCAGTTGTAGCAATTTTTGCTTCATTGCTATTTTGTAGCACTGTTGTTAGAATTTTGCATCTTCTTGGTGAATTAATCCCTTTTACGTCATTGTTTCAACACAGATTTCCCTGATTACCAGTGAAGGTAAATATTTAAAAAAAATCTTACTGGGATTTCAGTTTTCCTCTTATATGAATTGTGCATTTATGTTATTTGCATATATTTATCTTGTCTTGCTCTTACTATTTTATCAGAATTCTTCATATTTTCAAAATTTTGCTACATTCTCCCAGCCCGTAGTTTGTCTTAACTTGATTAAAGATAGCTTTTCTTCTGTTTTAAAATTTTAAAATAATAAACAATTTCAAATCTTTCCTTAATGACTAGTAATATTTAGTTTTGTTTAACAGATTTTTTTCCCTATGATGTCATGAAGATATCCATTTTTCTTCTATAAGTTTAGAGTTTTGTTTTTCATATTTAGGTCATTATTCCATTTGGACTTTTGTTTTATTTGTGTTATGAGGTTAGGATCTAATTTCATATTTTTTATGAGAATAGCCAATTTAACTAGAACCATTATAATTTGTGTCTTCTATATAGCCAATTAATGATTACTGTACTAATTTACATCCCCACAACACTGAATAATAATTCTTTCCCAGAACTGTGCCAGACATCATCATATACCAATTTCCAGGTATTCTCTTTTATCATTTTCTTTTTGTCTATTCTTGCATCAATGCTGCTCTTTTAAAAGTTGCTTTATATGAATTGCCACATGACCTAGCATTTCCACTTCTGCAAATATAGCCAAAAGTATTGAAAACAGGGTCTCAAGATATTTGCATACCCATATTCATAGTATTATTCACAATAGCCCAAAGGTGGAAGAATCTAAATGTTTATCAGTTGATCAAATGATAAACAAAATGTGGTAAGCACACATAATAGGATATTATTGTTTTAGAAATTTGAGGGTATTTTGCTAAATAAAAACCAGTCACAAAAGGACAAGTTCTGTATGATTCCACTTATATTCAACCACTAAAGAAGTCAAATTCGTAGAAACAGCAGAATGGTGATTGCCAGATAGCAGTAGGAAATGGGGAGTTGTTGAATGAGTACAGAGTTTCAGTTTG